AGTTCTGTCGCTATCTGCAGGGTAATTGTAGCGGACGGCTCAAACGGGTCACGGACAGAGTTGCTATCTTTACTACCTCTTCTTTGTCCTATCCTCAACCCGTACTTACTCACACTTACACTAACGTGTACTGCACTACCGCACATATCGGAAGACCTGTCAGGACCTGTAGAGCTTGACCCGTTTGGGGACGGGCCACACTCGTGGAGTGTACCTTGCCGGGGAAACCCCACAATGCTACATGTAGGTCAGTACTTGACGTTACCAACCAAAGGGAAAAGATCACCATCACCTTCCGTCATAAAAACATCCACTACCCTTAGGGGAACCATGCACATAGCAATTGACGCCCCAATAGACACGAAGTAATCAACCAAACAAGATAGTGTCTTTTGAAGTAGGAGAAATCATTTCAAGCAATTGAGGTCACAAATGGAATAATGTATACAAAACGCACATGCTGTAAATATATTATGAGTGACATTAAAAAAAGAACTGTGTAATTTTCTGGAAAATATTTCAAAAAATGGCATTTGTGTAACTTAAAAAATACAAAGAATGAATCAGAAGTGCGTTAACGCCATTATTCATTGCATTTAACATTACAAGAACTAAGCTCACAACAGCTCTGGGCTGAACTTCATTTACCACCCAGAAACTGCAATGTTAGTTCTGATGATTGCTACTCGGGCGAAAATATCTTAAGTATTTATAGTAGTTTATGCAATTATTAGTTTAAAATGTTATGCTTTATTGCGTGAGTGTGTGTTTTGAAATCGAACGACGTTAGGGAGAGTTTTCAAATTTGTACGAATGCAATAAAGCAACATTATAAACGCGTCATACTATATTTTTTGTATAACAGCATTATACATTTATAAGAGAATCATACTTAATTTTGCGAAGCAACTTCCCTGTGACGACTCGGGTATTTGACATCGTGCGAGTAAACGGTTCCGTTTAGCTCTATGTCCCCCCGATTCTCTCGCTACGATTGGCTGAATGTGTAATGACGCAATTATTAGTGCCGTAAAATGCTAATACGTCATCATTTGTGCTCTAAAATTCCCGATTACGAACGATTTCTTGCAACAGAAAATGTCGTTTATAACGCTGATATAAAAATATTGAGACTAAACAACATTATTACAAGGTATAAACCTCACCGGCAATGTGATTATCTCGTTGGTCACGCCCCCTCCCCCGCAGTTCCCGGACGTGACGTACTCTCCGTGCGGCGGGTCCGCGGGCCGCTTGGCGCTGCTGTCGACCAGCCCCGAGCCGCGTCCCCCGCGCCCCGCCAGCGCCCACCAGCGCCGCCCGCGCCGCCCGCACCTCCTCACGGCCCCGCGCGCCGCCCCCACCGAATCCACGTGCGAGATCTGGGCGGGGCCGGCGGACGGCGACGCCGCCGACCTGCTGCCCGCGCCCGCCGTCATGGCCTGCTGGCTGCTGCAGGGCGCCGTCATGAACGCCGACTGCGCGCGGGGACGGGTGGACGAGGAATTCACGTCTCCTGCGGCGAGCGGGGGTCGTCGGGATGATGTCGGAGATAGCCATCTGCTCGGAGACTCGTCGACTGCTTGCCTTCGCGAGGAAAACGCCGCCGAGCAACTTCCGACAGACGGTTTAACGTCGCCTCCGATGAGGAGCCAGCGCGACGGCGGCGGTCGCGCGCCAACGATCTTCCCAAGCGCTCGCGCCAGGCGAAAGAACAAGAAGAAGACCTGGAAGCGAAGAGCCCGCAAAGACGCTTCGCCTCCCGAAGGAACCGCCTGTCACGCGGAGGAGCAACTGTTCGTGAACTACTGCAGGTGGATCCTGCAGGAGAGGGACGAGGATTGGCTGCAGGACTTCGCGAGGGTGTGCCTCTCGGAGATGAACGCTGTTTTGCACGAGTTGGCTCCAGCCGAAGCGTGTTGCACGGAACAGTCGCACGCAACTCCTCTAGGTCGCGAGAGATCTGCAACTGAGGGAGAGTCAGAACGTTGCGTGAAACAGTCGCATGCGTCTTCTCCTGGCGGCGGACTTAGAACAGAGTATTTTCCCCAGGATGGTGACGGCTCATGTTGGTTTACTCCACGCGCGGAGGAAGCAACGTTTCAACTAAACGCCGGCGTGCCTTCGGCTCAGACTATCGACCTCTCTTCGTTTCTTGACTCCAGCCAGTTGCAGACAGACATGGCGACGCAACCGCTGATGTCGCCCGACTGGAAAAGCCGTGCTTCGTGCCCGCGCGTGCCTTCTACGACGGCCGCCGCGCCAAAGGACGCGCCACCCCGTGAGCGCGAAACCATTCCTGCGTCCTCGGGCGCGGATTTGCGTCGCAGAGCCCGCCCGCCGACAGACGCCGCGAGCAGCTCGGCTCCACCCAGGGAAGCGCGGCGCGAAGCCTCCGCGTTGGAGCGAGCCGCGGAAATCACCTCGTACCTGCGCCGGTTGCACGACGTCCCGCGTGGGCGCGCGCGCGCTCCGTCGGCGGTCGCCGCCGAGACGAAAGCCCGGCCGCGCCTCCCGCGAGGTAGTGTCCAGAGAGATGAGCTGCACTTCGATTGAAAAGCCAGTCGCTGGCCGCCATGTTGCGTGGAGAGCGACACCCGTTGACAAACATTTTGAATATGACACAAAGTGACACTTTTGAACGGTGACCAACCAAAAATAACACGATGAACGTGTAGTTGAAATGATAGATGCGATAATACCAAACGCTACGTATATCTGTTTCAATGGCTTGTAACAAGGCGAGTCTTACATATGGCTGCGTTTAAAATTCCAGCGAATATTCTGACGCAAACTGGTGCCTGAAGCTTATTGGCTGATTGATTGCGCAATAGCTCACCCATGTGCTTTCATCGTGGGTGGATGACCTTTCATGATGGAAAGAGATGGGTTAGCTATTAAGCATCGTATCCGACTTTAGCCAGTGAGAGTGAAGCCAGTGAGCCCATGAAGGGCCAGTTTGCTTCACAATATTAGCGTGAATTTTAAATTCAGCCTGTACCAAAATTATCACATTGTTACAAGTCATTAAAAAATATATATGAAATATTGTTTATTTTTGGTTGAAAATTGTCAGTTAGTGCCGGTTTTGTCAACATGCAACATGGCGGCCAGCGTCTGGACAGGATTGTCAAACGAAGTGTCCGTGTTGTGGTCACGTGGTTCGTGACGCAAACTGCTGCTGCACAGAACCAGCAAAAATCGGTGAGCCGGAGTACCTCACCCATTTCTTTCCCTCATGTTTAGTATTGATTAGAAAACATCAATGTTGTTACTCTCTCAACTACAAGCTATCAATGTTTTTCAACATCGATGTTTCCAAGCTGTTTTAGGAACCTCTAACAGTAAATTCGTCTGCAACGAAATTTGAATTGACAGTGTCCGTGTTCGTTAATTCGTCGAATAAATGATGAAGGGGTAATCCCTGCGCCCAGTACAGACAGTGTTTCTTTGCTTCCAACACATGAACCAACAGTGTTTCCAGTATGTACACATTACGCTACTTCAAATAATGAGTTGCAGAATGTAGATTGCCAAGTTGTCCATCTTATCTTCTGACGACTATTTAATAGTAATAAAAGGCTTCAAAATATGTTAGTAATTAATGCTCATAATTGTAAATTTACTAATTGTATGTTATTCCTTAGAAAACATATTTTTAAATTTACAAATAAGCGTAATATAGTTAATAATTGTTTCATATTTCAACATTTACTATATAGTGATCATATAAAATTTTCATTCAGAAACAAAATTTCTGTATTTTTTTCTCTTCTGTATGAATTTTTAAATATTAGTACAAGCGATATAAATTTCTATCTCGGATTTTTTTCCTTTCGTATTTAAATTCAAATATCTAACGTTCTTGCATTACCATTTTGTCCCCTCCCTTCATCTGCCAATTCTGGTCTCTGAGGCCACGGAAGAGTAGAAATACTAACGTTGTACGAACTTTTTTTCTTACAAAGAACAGAAATATATTTGAAGAAAGGATAGAATTTATTTGAGGTAAGTACATATGTACCTGGCACATAATTATAATAATTTGTTTTATTTTACCCTGACGATAATGTTAAAGTTATAAAATTTTCATTTCAGCGGTTGTGTTTATTCCGTTGGTTTAATTGACGTGTTGTGATTTTACAGCTGTTTACCCTCTGTACTTCACCCGGAGATGTGAGTGTTGGTCCTCTAGCAAATGCGTAGGGTCAGGCCGTAACAACCTCCAAAGTCCGCTCGAACGCTCTCCACGCTGAACTGCTCCCGTCGCGCACGCGCGCCTCCGCCCGCGCGCACGGCCGCACTCATCCGCGACCACCCTGCGCCAAGCGCGCGCCGCCGTCGCTCTGCCCGTTCGACCTCGCATCCCCGCGCGCGCACGAGGCGATCTCTCTCCAGAATCGCAGTCCTCTGCCGTCTTAACGCTGCAATGAAGCCTCGCCGCTGTGCATCGCCTCGCAGCAGACGGAGGTGAGACGCCTCGCCACGAAGCCGACGAAGTGGACGAGATAATTAGTTAATGAGCAGTGGCGCAGCGAGGGTTTTCGTTTTGGTGACGCCCATTCACAGAACAAAAACAACCGTTGGAGTACTCCAGATCCAGGAAACTCCAACGGTTCTTTCTTTTTTTTCGGTGAATTGATAATGGATTATTTCGTGTTTCCGGGAGCTTCAACAGCTAATGTTATTAGTCCCGTTAGCAAAGCGCAAGTTTTATCACGCAAGGTGCTGGAGACCTCCCGCTGGATGGTAACATCCGGCGTTGACATACACGTCGGCTGGTGGGTTTTCCCTCCACCAGGTATCTCCCACCTGCAGGGCTGTGCCTCAGCCGGAGCACGCTCTGAGCTCCCGACCGCTCCCCCGGCCTTGGTGCTAGTGTAGTGCTGAGCCCCCGACTGGCCTGCGTCTAGACGACCCAAACGCTACTCTACTCTAATTGAGTAAAGGAATCAGTTGAATGTCGAATAAACGACGAGAGTGAATGCATGGGAGATTGAATGAGTGCATCGTTGTTGTTGAAAGAGCCAGTGGACGATGAGGGAGTGAAGGAACGTGAATCGCAGGTGCTGGTGGCGGAGGCCGGGTGCCAGGCGCGCGTGCGCAGCGCGGGCGCAGAGGAGCTGCTGCGCAAGCTGCACACGGCGCATGCCACCGCCCGCCTGCGCGCCCTGGGAGGCGTCCGCCCCGCCCTCGCCCCCGCGTCCTCGCCCTCGCCCACGCCATCGCCCTCGCCCTCGCCCACGCCCACGCCGTCCTCCGGCTCGGACGCCACCACAGCAGCCTCCATCGCCACGGTGAGTTGCTTCTCTTAATGGGTTTTTGTTACAAGGTATTTATGTGACGAGTGGTAAAAGTGACGTAGTTCGCGAGTGGGAAAGGTTGCTTAGTTTTCAGAGTGATGCTCCTGTCCACTGCACGAGGTGCAGAAGTTATGTAATTGAATAAGTTATGTTGTTCACTGTGTGTGGTGTAAGGGGTGTGTATTCGCATGGGTGCGATTGTCTACTGCATCAGGTGCAGGGGTTGTATATTTCTATGGGTCCGCTTACTGGAGTGCAGGGGTTGTGTATTTGCATGAGTACACTTGCCAACTGCGTGCGGGGCAGGGGATTTGCACGGGTGCGCTTGTCCGCTGCGTGCGGTGCAGAGCGTGTGTGCGGCAGGTGGCGCGGCAGGCGGGCGCGTCGGAGGGGGAGCTGGCGTCGGCGGAGGCGTCGTCGCGCAGCGAAGGGCAGCTGTCGGACGGCGAGGTGGCGGCGCTCAGCGTGGGAGAGGTGCCGCCCGTCCCGCGCCCTCCCTCCTCCTCCGCCTCCTCGGCGCAGGTGAGCCTTCGCCCCGATGCTTTTGTGCTTTGCGACGAACTAATCTAAGTCTACAGGAAGGAAACGCAAGCCTAGTGTCGGAGGCAGGAGCCTGCGGTGTCAACAGTGTATACCCCAGCTGGTAGCGACCAAACGACTTCGCCCTCCCCATCATATACTAAGTAGTCTCGCAACAAAAGAATATTTACCATAACTGTGAAACACTTTTTTTTAAGAAATAAACAGTTTCTACTTGCAATTTATCACTCCCTCACAAGATGCATTTTCATGTTTTAAAAAGTAAATAGTACTTTACGGTACAAAAAATGAAATCTGCTACATGCAAGCGTTGCGGTAATCAATGGAAACTAAACCTTATTCTTCTTCCATGACTAGCAAAATACTGCATAGTTTTTTTCGAAAAATGAATATGTGTGTCAAATGTCCTCAAGCAGTTATGATTCAATAGGCTAGAGCGAGTATTTTCACTAGTTCTCTTTCGACCATAGGTTTTTAATGTTTACCCCATCGCGCACAATACTGCAATGCACACTGACTCTCTCAAGGGTACGGTATGCTATACGAAAATTCGGCTGATCACGTGTTTCAGAACAACCTTGCTCATAGAAATTAATATTGTGAACATTCTGGTTCACTCTCTTTACGTCGGGAGAGAAATGTCTGTCCCAGCAGAGCAATGGGCCGGTGCAAAGATTGCAATACAGTGTACAGTGGGTGCAATGTTTTTGATCAAGTGACATACGATTCATTGTCATTTTAATTCTCAAAATTCATTAAATTTTCATTCTGGCTTACCCCAGTACTATTGGGGATGAATGGAAGCCACTGGTTGGAGACATGGTGTGGGTGTGTACGACAAACGCCGCCAGCTACTTGAAAAGATGAAAGAAATCTAAACCTCTTTTACTTCAGCGACATCGCGCTGTGACTGAAGAGACTTATCTCGGCTTTTTTCGGCCAATGTCGACAAGATTCGTTGGGTCAGTTCGCCCAAGTTGGCGCTCGGCTATGCTGAAGCGGCCTTTGGGCGAGCCTCAATTGAAGAAAGCGAGATGGGAAATAATTATTATCGAAGCAGTAAGCCGTCTTGAAATCTGATCGTGTTCATTGTTACCTCCATCGGGTAAGGCAGTGAATTGCAGTTTTCTTGACAAGTCTTTACGTAACTTGTGCTGTGTTTATGTGAGAAATTTATAATAATTTATTGTTAATAATTATTGTCTAGGACGTGTCCCGTTAATAAATAAGTGTATTATTGCTTCCTGCAGAAACTGCAATGGCAGTCTTTGCTGCCATTGGCTGCTTTGAAAGTTCCTTTAAGGTTCTTTTACTCGCCGCGTGATGTCGCTGAATGGGTCTAGTTTTGTTTTGTTTTCCAAGTTGCTGTAGACGTTTAAGCCGTTACGCCAAGTAGACGTTTTTGGTACATACTCCAAAGAATTTGTAGTAATTTTATTTGTGTTTTGTATTAAAATATATTATAATTAAAGTCAGAATTGGCGGTGCTGACTGCACCTACAAATAAGATTGGGGCAAGTTGTGGCTGAAGGAAGGACGCCTAGGCGAGAAACTTCTTAATCACAAGCCATGCACACGCCCTCGTGGATGATGCATGAGCACCAATTCAAATGTATCTAGAATATAATATACATCAATAGTGAATACTTTCTTCGTAATCTTACAAATTCCATAAAAAATCGATAAAAAATATTTCTATTTATTGTGACAATTTATATCTAATAACTTTATTTATGCTTTTTAAAAGCAAATTAATTCGTTAATATTATAATGTCTGTATAGTATAAAGATAAAAAGTGAATTTTAGAGAAAAAGATTTTCTCAAAAACGGCTCCAAATGTTTTGTTTAAATTTTGGGAGGAATGGTGCTAAATGTACTCTACAAGATGACATAAACACCAAATTGCTCTATTCTTCAGTTTTTAAAAAGTTACAAAAATGTAATTTTAGGCCTTGCTTGTCATTAATATTTAATTAATCGTTAATATTTATACTAGCGGCAATGTGTTCACATTATTGTATTTAAGAATACATGTACTTTCAAGAATGTTATAAAGTTTCTCGAAAACTCTACCGTTTTCTGTGAAAACTAGCTCAAAACTCCGCATCTTCAGAAACGATCAAACACCATTTCCGCAAAATTTTTTCTTCAAACATTTCGAAAGGATAGTGGTAATTGTAATCTTGAATATGACGTAAAGTTCATTTCGGGTTACTTCAAGTTAACTTTTTAGAAAATTAAAAAAAAATTCTGTGTAAAAGAGCTTAAAATTTCGAATTCACAGTAGCGTTTAAACGCGTTACTTCAAGTTAACTTTTTAGAAAATTAAAAAAAAATTCTGTGAAAAAGAGCTTAAAATTTCGAATTCACGGTAGCGTTTAAACGACGGATTTTTGAAAACATTCCCGGGTAGGGGGGGGCAGGCTTAGAGGGGCAGCCAGGCGCCGCGTAATTGCTGCGCTCTGTTGGTGGCTACCGCAAATGCTGGCGCCGCGCGGTTCAATTGTCCGACGCGTACTCGGGCCTAATACCCTTTCCCCACTCCAGACATACTTCACCTAATCCCGTGAACTCCATCGCTCACCCGACAATTTGCCTCTCTGTGCGGCTGAATTTAGCTCAGAATTGTCGCTGCCTCCACGGAGACTCTGCCGGGAAGTCCTAGGGTTCTAGTCCCGGCGGAGGGGGCTCGTCCACGTAATGATATATGGCTGGGTCCATTGATTGATTAGTAATTCCCGGCGCGACAACGGCTAAAGTCATTCTTCTTGAATTAGTATTAAAGCTTCCTAAAGATCACTAAGTTGATAATGCAGCATAATTATTTAGCTTTTAGTACTCTGTAAGCATTTTTTCATTCATGAAATATAGTTGGAAAGAATTGAAGCAAAGACATTTAATTTTTCTTACATGTTATTGTTATGTAACTTTCTAGGAGGTGTCTGAGTCTGTAAAACCAAGGCACTCAAGCAAAACAGATGAAGATTATATATATTCAGAGATGGAAATAAAGGGTAAGAAAACATGACTTTTATTGAGTTATACATTATTAAGTTTAGCTTGTACTATAAAGAATTATTAAATTTTTTTGTTTTATTTGAGAAATATATTATTTTGAATCATCTTACAGTGTTAAATGTATTAACAAGTAAAGTCTCAGCCTTTAACACCATGTTAATTCCACAATCCTCACCATTTGGAGGCATTTTTGGGAATTTTTATCAAACTAGAAATAGTTGTATGAAATGCATGACAAATGAAACTTACTTAACCAGGGAAGAAATAATGATTTCATATGTTTAATGAAACTTACATTAATTATTTTCAATACAAACTTTTATATTATAAAAAAATGTCTACATATTAAATATAATATTAAAACATATTATATACACCAAAGCATAGACTAGCCAGAGTCAATACATATTTGGCTTAGTACACCAGAAGACGGCATGTCCTAGGCACGTATGCCACATTGGCCATCATACCCGATCTTCTTCAGGATGAAGTGCACAGAGGTGGACTGCACATTTAGCCTTGAGGAAGGTCGCAGTAAGACCACCGAAACGTTGGCACATGTGCCTAGGACCCGGCAACTCCCAGACAGCCAAGTGTATACAATTTATACATAGTCTGCTTCTGTGTAGTAGACTAAAACAATCCTGTATTTGTAGAGGAACATGAGGAGCCTGGCGATATGTTTCCTTGTAATCAAAGACCGAACATTACTTGTTATAGGCAACACAACTTGGTAAATGTGATACCTGATATATAATCGCACCATCCACTGGGATTAAAAAAGAAGCCCCTGCTACGTTTGGGCGTAGGACTGACACTGTTACTATTCTTGTGCCTACTGTCTGTCTCACAAGTACTAGATCCTCCAATATCTATCTTGCAATAATGAAAAGAACATTTGAAATGATGAAAGTTCACCTTTACCTGACTGAATTATTTTCTTAAATATTTTTATTACACTATTTTATAATTTTAAAGGAAAAATATTTTAAAATTTTTTCTTTTGAAATGCACATGCTGATACCTTTTAAGATGTTATGGAAAACATGAAGTTCTAATTGCATTACTGAAACATTTAAAGGTGAAAATTAGAACTATCATGAGATTCCTACAGCGTGCCCATACAAGCACGCTAGGCAGATAAACGCATCATCCTACTATGGAGGGTTTAAAATATAAATCAATTCTACAAATTCCTATTAGACATTTTGAATTTTCCCCTAGCTCACACAATATTTCTTGAATATATTTAAATCTTATTCCATTAAACTTTCATTTATGTTTTACTTATGCTGCAAGATTGAGTTAGTGAGAAGAATTGTAAAACCTGTAATGTAATTTTCCCTCATTGCAATGTCATCCATGAGTAGGGTTAGAAATTTGATGATTTTGCATCTATTTTCTTGTTCCTTAAAATTATATCTCCTTTGGTATTAACATTTTTGACAATGTTTTGACGCTTTTGACATGTACTTGTTATGGCAGTTTTTGTCATTTTGAGATTGAAAGGAATTTTGGGGCCTTTTTAAGTCATTGATCATTATTTGTACTTTTTTCATTCATTTCCTTTATTCATTCATTCAGCTCATTATAACTACCCAGTCCTAAATAGAAGTGCTTTGCAGTCGCCGCACTAACCATTATTGCAGCAGTTGGCAATAGTGTGAAGGGAGTGGAAACGGGAGGCGTCTAAGTTCTAAAACAAATCAATTGTTTGTGATTCAATGGTGAGTTGGCAACTAAAAGGAGAAAGATAAATAGTAACATTGAATCTGAATAAATTATACTAATTTTGATTCTAAACTGAGTTTTGTTTAATTTTATTTATTCTAACCATTCATGGCATCTAGTAATTGACTTAATAGAAAAAAGAAATGTTATTTCCCAGTCTAAAAGTCACCCAGTGACGTTTCAGATATTTTTAGTTCATTTCTTCAGTTGTTTTTAATGGTGTGTAAACTCAGTTTCTAGGTCATTTTTAAGGTCATCACTATGCATGAGAATTGAAAAAAAATAAAATGAGAAAAGTTTCTAATAAATGATAGATATTTGTTCTTAGGAAGTAAATCTGCAATAAATAGTTTTCTACTTGAAATTTAAAGAGCCGATTTACCCATCAACAAGGGGAGGGAGCAGCATAAATTGATTTTTTTTGTGATTTGTTTTATTCACCATCCATCCATCAGAATTTAATTTAAAACACTTTTTTGCTTTATGAACAAAGTAGTTTGAAACTTTTGGAACACATGACATATTGTTAAATTACTTTTATGACCATTTGAGATGGATCATGCTTTTTATTTTTCCAGAAAGCAAACAGTGTCACTCCATAAGTAACTGCACCTTTACAAACTTTCAAGCCTGGTTTTCTCAAAACTTAGAATTTTGGACATGTAAAACTCATATAGCAGGCATTAACCCATTGATAAATTAGACTTGATTTTCATTGCACAATCTTGCATTTCACAGGGGTGCCTAGAAGGGGAGGCAACTAAGACAACTGGTCGCACGCAATTTAACTTAGTTGATTACCCTTCTAAGACTTTATCTGGTTCCTGTAGAAAGGGGGGGGGGGAGAAGTTCAGTTCAATTTCATTCAAGTTAACTGTGAATTTTATGTTGCTTGTAGTTGTGAATTATTTCTGTTATTTGAAGAAATGAATTATGTTTGTGGAGAGGATTTTTGTTTGAAATAAGGAGTTTCCATGGATCTATATTGCCCCATGCTTCTTGTTTGCTCTTTGCACCCCCGGTGTTTCAAAGAAAAAATGTGCTCCTTACTAATTTAAATAATTCTTTATAAATAAATATGTTTCCTTCATAATTCTTTGCTTATTTCAGTAAATCTTAATAGTAATTTTTTTCTTTTACAGATACCATTTACAGTACTGATGAAGACATGGAAAACACACACACAGGAATGAGTTTCACCAACAAAACATGACTAAGAATTTATGCAAGAGCACATTCAGTTTACTTCTTGTGAACTATAGACTACACCAACATCAATGCGGAATACAAAAAGTATTGTGAATGAATTCTCTTCTACGAAGTGCAAGATCTGTGACTTGGTGTAACAAACTACACTTAACTTACATTGTATAATGCTAACCTCTTTCTCCTCTAAGAATTTTTTTTTCTTTTTCTACTCTTGAAATGAATTTATACTTACTGCTTTTCTTAATAAAATCAATCATTTTGCATACTACATGTATGATTTCTCCTTTCTAAATGAACAAATCTAAGAGCCTACTTGCCATTTCAATATAACACAGTTTGAACAGGATCAGTTACCACAATGAAAACGAACCTTTAAGACCATAATTATTTATTTTACATTCTGACACTACTATTCATGAACACAATTCAAATTAATTCACTTTAAAAAGAAAGCTGTACAGTGAACCAGAGTTTAAAGTACGAGTGCTAAAAAAATCAACAATAAACTCACAGCCCTAAACAATATTTACACTACAGTAATATGTACTAATATGACATCATAGAAACAATTGATATTCACAATTTTTAAAACGTTTTTCAATGCTTTGCAAATGTAGGAACTGGTAACTTAAGACCTTGTCTTGCTTCAAAGAAAGTGTAAGATAAAGTAAGTGTATCAACAAGCTCCATTTTTGGATCTTCAGTAAATTCTGGATCAATGTAGAAGAAAACAGGCATATCAACTTGTTCATGTGGATTCAACATTTGTTCTTCAAAACAGAAGCATTGAATTTTATTGAAATATTGTCCTGCTTCAAAGGGCACAACGTTATAAGTGCTAATGCCAATTACAGGGCGATCTGTAGGGTTTTCCGCAGTGTAAAATGCTAATGCTGTTTCACCAGGAACTACGTTAATTTCTGTTTGTTGAGGTTTAAAATTCCACTGCATACTCGCACCGATGTCTGCATTGAATCGCACTTTAATGATCCTATCTTTCTTCTGTAATTTTTCTATAGATTTCTCGTCAGTCACAGTTCCTGTGGTTCCTCCGTAACTGTAAGCCTGACAAAAAATGCGGTACAAAGGTACAGCAGCATAACTCATGCCCACTGCCAAAACACCGGCAGCGCTAACATAATACAAAGTGGTCTTGGCACGATGCTGTCGTTGTTTCCATCCACTATTTTCCGTCTGTCTCTGGCTGTAGTTTCGAACGGGAGGGATTAAATACTGCTTTAAAAAATTCTTCCTGGTACCAGTAACGAAAAAATTAACAAGTTTCGCAGCCATTGCAACAGAATTTTATGTCATGTTTCGAACAATTTGCTTCTGATAACCTACCAATCGTTTTTTATGAATGTTTTCATTTTTCACGATTTCAAGTAATGTTGATTATGACCACTATCACAGCAACGAAATTTAGGTTAGGATGCTCCCTGTGTTTACATTAGTGCGCCCAGTCAATGCGTGCAGCGCACGAGCCCTTCTTTTTCTCAAGGTTCTGCAAACTTTACAACATAGTTGCCAACTTCCATTTAAACATTTCTGAAGTTCATGTTTTGAATTATGATAAATATTACGGCAAATCAAACATTAATTGCATTATTACAACGAAACATACAATGCTTATGTTTGATTTAATGATACTGCTTCTATCAGGCCACAGCATTTTTCGAATCAAGAATATACCAAGCACAGCGAGTGTCGTTTGTCATGATACTGTGCTACACGTCAGAAAATATATATATCCGTTGTGTATTGCTATTTATTCTATTATGGAAATGCGGTTAGTCCAAAAATAGAGGTTTGATATTTTTCTGATTGTAATGGAACGAAATGATAAGGTTATTATTCACTTGAGTATCATGTTAAACAGAAGGCTGTACCTCTGACTGAACTTGTAGTTGAGATTACAGAAAATCAACATGATGTAATTAAATCATTTCCACTTACGTTATTCACAAGCAAGAGTCGGCAAGTAATGTCCATTTCCTTTTTCCTTTTGATATTAATGTACATGTTCAGACTGGATAGTTTGATAAGGAATGTATGAAATTTAACAGGCAGAATACCCAGAGTTAGAGCAGTTCATAATATTTTGTCATGTGAATTTTCCTATCAAGAAAAGGTTATTTACAAAGGTAACTAACTACGTCTGTTTTCATCATGTGTATAATTTTCCCTCAGATTATACCACAAATGTAACCTGCTCTTGAATAATTTTGTTTATACACTTATTTCTATTGTTTGTTTCTGTATGCTCTGTCCACTTGTCTCTGTGGCAATTTCAATAATTACAAGAAGAGAGCAAATGCGTGGTTTGTGCCATGGTCTTGCAATAGCAATGCGCTGTCTTCATGCAGAAAAATTAATCGGACAAAGAGCAACTTGGAGACTGAATGTTGTATTATGGAACAGATTATCGAACGAATTAAGTGAAGTTGATAAAGATCATTTTATCACTATGCCACCCTAAAATTAAACATTGTCAGATTTCTTTGTGGAAATAATGAAATGCCAGGCAGTGAATGGTGAGAAAGCTGATTTGTGTTTCCAATACAAATGTGAAAGTTTTTGAGAATAGCCCATGTTAAAGAAGAAGGTTGTCCTTGCAAATTTTTTTTATATGACATTTAGGGATGGTCTTATGACAATAGTACAAAAAATATTAATACTAATTTAATTAAAAGGAATGTTGAATGAGAAGCATTATTGTGGTTACTTCTAATGAGCTTCAAGAGACTTTCATCTTTTTAAGGCTGTTCAGAAGCATTATTTTAGAAAGAAGAATGAAATGACAAATGTTACACATGGTGGGTAGCATTCACTTAGTTTATTAAAAGTAGCCTAGTCTTGTGCGGAGGCGCTTGGTTCACCGCATCCTTCCCTCCAAATATTTTCAACTACATTTAGTATTTTATTCAAATTTTATTTTTAACTAAAGACACCTTCATCATAAAATATTTTAACTATGACATTTGCATGGCTCTACATAACACCATGAAAACATTGCATTTTTCACAAAAATGTATTTCATTAGTGAAAAATTTGTGGGAAAGGGGTGTTATGAAGATGCCCCTGTAGGGCTGCTGCCGCTGTTCTGTAAGAGTGCGGTCAGAGTATAGTGTTAAATTATTAAACAGCTGCAATATAATGTGATATTTTGTAATCCTCAGTGTGCACCGTTATTTATGATGAAATAGGGGACGGATTTTGATGACCTAAAACATTGCCAAAATTGACCAATAAAATACTTTCAAAATGTCCTAAAAACAAAGAAAAATGACATAAAAAATTTTATTGAAACCACTTCAGATGAACAATTCAAGCTGTTGGATATGTTACTGACGTAATCAAGGCTTCTTCCTTTTCTTCAAGTGAACTCAGCTTGCAAACTTTTGGTTTGGACTGTTCTTTAAAAGAAAATCTCTGCCTTTATTTGTCGTGAAATTGGTGGAACCGACAATGGCCCCAATGAACATCACAGAAACCTTAGATTACATAGTACTCACAACGGCAGTCATTAAGCTGTAAAATAGCAAGTTATATTACACCCTAGGGAGTCTCTCACATCCCAGCCTCCACATCTCTCTATTGGTGTAGTCTTTATTACTTAATCCACTCTTCACCATTGTCTCATCCACTCCCTCTCCCCATGTAAGACTAGGTCTTCCGCTTCATCGATGGGTAGCTGGTTGCCATTTCCCCAATATTTTTGGCCAACGTTCCTTCGTTCTTTGCATGTGCCCATACCATTTTAGTCTTTTCACTACGATGGTGTCAGTTATATTAAAACACACTTCCTTTTTACATTAAATGTCTTCATTCTTAACTTTATCCATTAAAGTCAGTTCACAACTTCAGTGCCAGAAGTCCATTTCCATTGCTTTCAATTTAGCAAAAAGCGAATTAGCAAAGCGCTAATGTGCCTTATGCCACAGAATATCATTCTGAGTGAGTCAGAATAAACTTATGAAATTTTTTGAAATCAAAATGTTAGTAGTTTAATTTTCAATATAATGAATATGATATTCTCATCTCATCCTGTAATCAATTTAACTAAAAAAAATTAACTTTTTTCAACTCCATTTGTCATTTAACCGTTCATGAATAGGTCAAAATTTCTAGGAATCCTGTTACTGTTTATCCCAAAGTATGTTATATTTTAAAGACTGTTTTATCTTTATTTAATCACAATTCATTAGCACTAGCCATATTCATATTTTTTGTAAGGTAACTTTCTGTTCAGTTGAAGTCCTACATTTATTGATAGATATTACTGTGATGTTATCAGCAGAAAATAATATATTTTCTGCTTTCTTTCAGTGAAATTGAATGTTAAATAGGATGATAGAGAGGGGAAAACGTTATATTGTTTTTGCCATTGTCCGTTTTGGAAATGTTTATGGACTAAAGTACTTTTTTGTGTACTGGGTTTGTATAGATGTTAATAACTTCATATGCCATTCATTACTCTATGTTCTTGAACACTGTGAAACTCTACCAAAAATGCAGGATGGTCTTTTAAACCAACTTAATTTCACTCAAAATCAACTGAGGTTGTTTTTGTTATTGTCTTCAAAAGGCTAGAATTTACAATCATGAAAGAATTCTGGAACTGTAATTACTCATTTACAACATGAATTAGGGCAACTAATACATATTTGCATTACAAATTAGTATTTTATTCAAACATATTGCAGATTTCTTCAGTAAATAGTCAATAAATTGTTAAAGGGTTGTTGGAATGATCAGTAAAATGTGGAAAACTCAGGGAATTTTTGGGGGGTGAAAATGTTGGTGGGCAGCACAATTTATGAACGGGAGAAGAGGGAGGAATGATTTAAAGTACAGAATATTTTATTTTCCCAGCCTCACTTAAAACATCTTGTCATGAACAGTGATAAATGTTTCTAATACCATCAGTATTTGAGTTTTCTTCAATCAAAATAACTTTCACAAATATTTAATTCTTGTATTTCGTATTTATTACATTGAAAATGATTTGAAAAAGTTAACCTTATATAAAATTCCTTTCTAGATGGTTATCTTGTGATTTTCATTCTTTTACACAGGTTATTTTAAGTGGAGTGAATTTTTCCTCCTCTTCTGATTTTTCCCTTTTTCTCCTCTCTTGAATACTTTGTCTTAATAACCCTTGTGTTGTACATGAAAAGGTACATTCATATATTCAAAATGTGTTAGAAAGTGACAGAATTTATTATTTTCTCATGTTCTTTTAGAAAATGGGTGTTCATAGAGAATTAGTGGCCAAATGAAAGGCCTTTTTCCCAATTGAGTTCTTGACTTACTGGTACGTATTAGTAATGTACAAGAAACTTTGAAGATTGGAATTTTCTGTGACTGAAATAATGATGGTAGCACTGAAGTGAAGTAAACTTTCAAGTAAACCGAGAAAGCATTATTAACATTAAGTTGTGAACAATTTGCAGAAGAAAGATATATTTCAATGCTGAGCAAGACTAATGTATATTGCTTCCAAAGTTATAAAAATGATTGTAAAATTTACGTTGAAAGTTTCTGTAAGTATTAACAAATATGTTGATGCATTTTTATATTCAGTGTTGAGATTTGTTTATCATATTTTTCAATAAAAACATGCCTAGTATCTTTAATGTTTGTATTAATTTTCTGTATCAATAGGTTTTGTTGAAATAAATTCAAGAGGAAGTAATAATATGAGAAAAAGCTACAACAAATACATGCCAGATACGATCACGGAAGTGTGTATTGATACGTATTTTTCTCCTTAATGAATTTTATTTGAAGATTTAAGTTCATCTGATATTTTTAATTTTAACATATGTCTTCGATTTGTTGCGTTGGGTATGCTTAGATACAGTAGATGCACCTCAAAGAAACGTTCCTAGCAAAAACCGAGTAGAATGAAGTAATATGTGTCCAGTCACTTGAAAAGCATGGTTAAAACAGATTTGATGGATGATACAATGAAAAATATCAAAATTCTTTCCCTGTAAGATTTTCATGTTTGGAAATGAACACAATATTTTTTTTGTAAATTCGTAAGGTGTATGTCAGGGTTATGTGTTACAGGAAGTTTGTGAATCTCTAAAATGTTGAAGAAAGTTGCTAGTTTTGTTAAAATGCTATTTTCAATATTTTCAAACATTTATGCTGCTCATATTTCCTTTATCTATCATCATGAAAGATAACTAAACTTCATGAAAGTTTTTTTGATAATCATTTTAATTAATTGAATTAATTTGATTTGTTTTCTTTCTAGGATATACAAATTTATTATGCTATTT